TGCAGAGAGATACAGTGTGTGTGTGTGTGTGTGTGTGTGTGTGTGTGTGTGTGAAGCAGAGAGAGAGAAAAAGAGAGAGAGAGAGAAGGTGAGAAAGCAAGCCACCAGCTCCAGAACTCCAACTGCAGTCTGCCTTGTAGGCATCCCACACCCCTAACCACCACGCCACCTGCCAGCCTGTCAACTTACTTTCTTGACCATGCTGAAAATATTTGGCATTACTGTGTTGGGCCCCAATGTTTCATTTTGAAGTTTCTTGGTCATAGAAACCCTGGTGAGGTGGAGGATGGTCTGGTTAGGGCAGGAGCTGTGGCGATAGAGGAAGGGAAGGGGGAGGGGGGAGAGGCCTCTGGGTGGCATAAGCATCTCTGTCCAGGTGGATGTGGGAGCAGGGAGGGAGGGTCCTGGGTGATACCTAAGATTTCCAGCTGAGGCAGCTGGGTGGGTGGCTGTTGATCTGGTTATACAGAGGTCGCCCTGGGGCTCTGGCTCTGTCCTAGTCGTGGGTGTAGAGATTCCAGCTGAGCCCAGAAAGGCCTGTTCCTCCTGCTCCTTCCTTCCTGGTGTACTGCATCAGTCCTTACTCCCCCTCCATCCCCAGTAGCTCTAGGCCCATGACTCTGTCTTTGCCCACAGGGACATCGGAGGCAATGAGACAGTGACACTGCGTCAGACATTTGTGCCTGTGCGACCAGGCCCCCGCCAGCTTATCGCCAGCTTGGACAGCCCACAGCTCTCCCAGGTGCATGGTGTCATCCAGGTGGACGTGGCTCCAGCCCCCGGAGGTGGAGGATTCTTAAATGCTAGAGAGGACAGTCACTCAGGGGAGACCATTCCTATGGCATCTCGAGGCGGAGCTTAGCGCTGGACCAGGAGCGATGGGACTGGAATCAGATGACCAAAGACACTGCCCCCAAATGGGGGCCTGCCACAGAGTGGCACCCCAGGCACTGAGATGGGAAAGCCAGGGCAACTGAGGAGGAAGCCAATCTTCACTTGCACTGGGTGGCATGGATGCTAATAAACTGTTTTTTAAGAAGCGACTGTTCTTCCCATCTGTCAGCCCATGCTAGGCCAAAGAGTGTGGGGCCCTGGTCCTTCCCAGGGATGCCCATGGCATTTTTGGGGCCCCTGGTACTGAGAAGCATGGTGGCAGACCAGTACTGCCCTTTCTCATAGCACCCCCTGTAGGAAAGGAGGGCCTCAGTTCCCTTCATAGGTACATGTTTGAGGGAGAAATAGGCTGGAGTACACATAACAGGATTTCCTTTTATTTTAAAATTTTTTATTTAAAAAAATTATTTTTATATAATTTTATTATTATTAGGCTTTTTTTTTTATTTGACCAGAGAAAGACACGGAAAGAGACAGAGAGAGAAAGTGAGAAAGCAAGTTGCCAGGTCCAGGATTCAAACCATAGTCAGCCATGTGATAGTCCAGCATTCTTAACCACCATGCCACCTGCTGGCCCCAATTTCCTTCTTTTTTAAGGCTGAATAGTATTCCATTGTGTAGTTACATCACATTTTTTTTATCCATTCACCCATCCAAAATCGGCAAAATCTACCTTCCAATGTTTATTTATTTATTTATTTTTAGAGAGAGTTTTTTGCTATAGGGCCTGTGTGCTTGCTGGAGAGATAGAAAGTGAGAAATCACCCCCCCAGGGGGTATGGCCACTCCACAATCCCTTCTCCTCCATTCTCCTCTTGGGATCTTGGGCACGTACACACACTTGCCTGGCATGAGTTTAAGCCACCGGGTCCGGAACTCAAACCGCGGTCAACTACGTGTGAGTCAGCGATGTAACCAGGACACCATCTGCTAGAGTCCCAATATTTATTTTTGAATATCCTTGTCTATCAATGTCCACAAGATAATATAAGTTCAGTATTAAAAACTAATACAGGAAGTCAAAAAGAAGAAAATAACACTCCTCAACCACTGTTGAGAAGGTAACTGTGAGCACTGCTTCATGTGCTGCTTTTCCTTCACATGACCTCGGGTGAGCATTTAAATACCCACAGTATTAAATACACATCAATTTGTTTTCAAAGATTATTTTATTTAACTTTATTTATTTATTTTAATTTGACCAGAGAGGGACAGAGTGAGAGAGAGAGAGAGAGAGAGAGATAGAGAGAGAAGGAAAGTGAGAAAGCAAGCCACCAGGTCTGGGACTCAAACCACGGTTGGCCATATGGGAATCCAGTGCCCTTAACCACCACGCCACCTGCCAGTCCTGTATATTCATCATTTTTTTTCTTTTAGAGAGAGATTTTTTTTTTTGGAGAGATTTTTGCTATAGGGCGCATGCGCTCGCCAGACAGAGAGACATTAGAGACAGAAAGCGAGAAATCCGCAACCCCTTCTCCTCCATTCTCCTCTCGGGATCTTGGGCACGCACGCACACGCGCCCGGCGTGAGTTTTAAGCCACTGGGTCTGGGATGCGAACCGTGGTTGACTACATGGGAGTCCAGCGACATAGCCATTATGCTAACTGCTGGTTCCAAGAGAGATTTTTTTTTTTCACTACAGGGCACATGCACTTGCCAGAGAGACAGAGATAGAGAGACAGAAAATGAGAAATCACTCCCTAGGGGGGTGGCCATACTGCAATCCCTTCTCCTCCATTCTCCTCTCAGGATTTTGGGCACACATGCACATGTGCCCTGCGTGAGTTTTAAGTCACCAGGCCCGGGATCCAAACCATGGTTGAGTACATGGGAGTCCAGCAATGTAACCATCATACCATCTGCTGGTCCCAAAATGTTCTTCATTTTTAAAGACTGGACAATAGTCTTGCTCCCAGGCCACCCTCCTAATCTTCCTGAGTTTCAATGGCTGCCTTTCTCGGTCTCCTTGGCTGGTGCCAGCTCCTCTGCTCAGCCTGCAAGTGCTGTAGTGACTCAGGGATCCACTCAGGCTCTGTGCATTATCCAGTTACACTCTGCCTGCATGATCTCAGCTAGCCTCATGGGTTTAAAGACTACCAGTAGACTCTCAAACTGCATCCCTAGCCCTGGTGTTTTCCACAAACTTCAAATGTGTATATCCACTGCCTTCTCAACATCTCTACTGGATGCCTACTAGACACTCCGGTGGGACATGTTCGAAATTAGACACCTACCTCCCTCCAGCATCTCAGGAAATGGCAAATCCACTTTCCAAGGTTCTTGGGCTCAACAACTTAGTCGTCCTGATTCCTTCCTTTCTCTCATCCCCTACTTCCACTCTGTTAGCAAATATCAATGGTGCTACCTTCCGTACACACGTGTCCGGAATCTAGCTGTTCCCACCACCTCTCCAGCCACCCACCATGCCAGAACTGCCATCATCTCTCACCTGGATCATGGTATTGGCCTCCCAATCACTCTCCCCACTTCCACACTTGTCTCTTTTTCTTTTTTGGGGGGGGGAGGGAGAGGTTTTTGCTATAGGGTGCATGTGCTCACCAGAAAGAGACAGAGAAACAGAAAGCAAGAAATCACTCCCCAGGGGGGATGACCACACCGCAATCCCTTCTCCATTCTCCTCTTGGGATCTTGGGCATGCACGCACACGTGCCTGGCATGAGTTCAAGCCACCGGGTCCGGGACTCGAACCACAGTCAACTACATGGGAGTCCAGCGACATAGCCATTATGCCAACTGCTAGTCCCACTACACTTGTCTTTTTCAGACTCTGTTCATCACATAGCAGCCAGAATGAATGGGTGAATCTGATCATGCCAATCTTCTGCTTAAAACCAGACTTGGGGTCAAAGCAAAGACTTGGGCTTTGCAAAGCCCAAGTCTTTAACGATGATGTTATTCCAACTTCCTCACCTCCCGTTTCTCTCCTCCAGGCTCAGGTCATTCCAAGCCTCTGGTCCTTTCATCTTCCTGCACAGTCTCAGGCCTGCTTCTACTTCAGGGTCTCTACACAGCTGCATCCCCTGCCTGAATTCTTTCCCAGATGTTTCCATGGCTCACTTCCTGATCTCTCTCTCTTATTTTTTAAAGGTTTTTGCCATAGGGAATGTGCACTGGCCAGAGAGAGAGACAGAAGGAAAGTGAGAAATCACATCCAAAGGGATTGCCATACTGCAATAGATAGAGAGACAGAAAATGAGAAATCACTCCCTAGGGGGGTGGCCATACTGCAATCCCTTCTCCTCCATTCTCCTCTCAGGATTTTGGGCACACATGCACATGTGCCCTGCATGAGTTTTAAGTCACCGGGCCTGGGATCCAAACCATGGTTGAGTACATGGGAGTCCAGCAATGTAACCATCACACCATCTGCTGGTCCCAAAATGTTCTTCATTTTTAAAGACTGGACAATAGTCTTGCTCCCAGGCCACCCTCCTAATCTTCCTGAGTTTCAATGGCTGCCTTTCTCGGTCTCCTTGGCTGGTGCCAGCTCCTCTGCTCAGCCTGCAAGTGCTGTAGTGACTCAGGGATCCACTCAGGCTCTGTGCATTATCCAGTTACACTCTGCCTGCATGATCTCAGCTAGCCTCATGGGTTTAAAGACTACCAGTAGACTCTCAAACTGCATCCCTAGCCCTGGTGTTTTCCACAAACTTCAAATGTGTATATCCACTGCCTTCTCAACATCTCTACTGGATGCCTACTAGACACTCCGGTGGGACATGTTCGAAATTAGACACCTACCTCCCTCCAGCATCTCAGGAAATGGCAAATCCACTTTCCAAGGTTCTTGGGCTCAACAACTTAGTCGTCCTGATTCCTTCCTTTCTCTCATCCCCTACTTCCACTCTGTTAGCAAATATCAATGGTGCTACCTTCCGTACACACGTGTCCGGAATCTAGCTGTTCCCACCACCTCTCCAGCCACCCACCATGCCAGAACTGCCGTCATCTCTCACCTGGATCATGGTATTGGCCTCCCAATCACTCTCCCCACTTCCACACTTGTCTCTTTTTCTTTTTTTGGGGGGGAGGGAGAGGTTTTTGCTATAGGGTGCATGTGCTCACCAGAAAGAGACAGAGAAACAGAAAGCAAGAAATCACTCCCCAGGGGGGATGACCACACCGCAATCCCTTCTCCATTCTCCTCTTGGGATCTTGGGCATGCACGCACACGTGCCTGGCATGAGTTCAAGCCACCGGGTCCGGGACTCGAACCACGGTCAACTACATGGGAGTCCAGCGACATAGCCATTATGCCAACTGCTAGTCCCACTACACTTGTCTTTTTCAGACTCTGTTCATCACATAGCAGCCAGAATGAATGGGTGAATCTGATCATGCCAATCTTCTGCTTAAAACCAGACTTGGGCTCAAAGCAAAGACTTGGGCTTTGCAAAGCCCAAGTCTTTAACGATGATGTTATTCCAACTTCCTCACCTCCCGTTTCTCTCCTCCAGGCTCAGGTCATTCCAAGCCTCTGGTCCTTTCATCTTCCTGCACAGTCTCAGGCCTGCTTCTACTTCAGGGTCTCTACACAGCTGCATCCCCTGCCTGAATTCTTTCCCAGATGTTTCCATGGCTCACTTCCTGATCTCTCTCTCTTATTTTTTAAAGGTTTTTGCCATAGGGAATGTGCACTGGCCAGAGAGAGAGACAGAGAGAGACAGTGAGATGGAAAATGAGAAATCAACTCCCAGGAGAGGATGGCCATGCTGCAATCCCTTTTCTTCCACTCTCCAATCCCTTCTCCCCCACTGTCCTGGGATTTTGGGCATGTACGCACATACACCCAGCCTGATTTTCAAGCTGCCAGTTCTGGTACTCGAACTGCAGTCGGCCATGTGGGAGTCTGTGCCTTAACCACTACGCCACCTGCTGAGTCTCCTGATCGCCTTTAATTTTTGTGTCACCTCACCATCTTGGTCAAGTCTTCCTTACCGTTCCACCCTCCACACTCCCTGACCCTCTTCATGCTCTATTGTTTCCCATGGCTCATCTGGTACTTAATATGAGGTTATTTACAGATATTATCAAACTTTCTCCCCACCCTGCCCCATCCTAGTTCCAGCCTCCACTCTCCCTCACTTGGATGGAAGCATGAGCACTCTCGCTGGCCT